ACCTATTTTTGGCATAAAAAGTGATCGAATTGGAGAATGATATCTGAATCAAAGTTGTAGCCAGATGAGTTAGCTTTCCAACGCATTTTGAATCGCCTCAATCGGATATCGGAATACAAAGTTATGATAAAAACATTGAAAGAAAGTGCAGCTACCTGTTTAAAACAAGAAATTCCGTTATATAGCCATTTTTAATATGTAGAAGATGTATGGATTCATGATTTTAAAAATACGTTATTTTCTCTTATTTTCAACAACATTCTTCAATAAAATGATATTATATGTAGATCCAAAACTTTTTTTTTTATTTTTTAACTACACATTTTCTTCCAAAATTCTATTCCAAAATAGATTTTAAGAAAAAAAAAGGGTGGGGGGCGTTCAAACAGGCTCTATATAGTAAACGTATGTTCTTTTCTTTTTAGATGAAAAGGTAAACAATATCTATTTTTTCCTTTTGGTTTTGCTGTTGGCGATCTGAAATTTCAAGAAGCCTATTTCTCAAGAAATTTAGACAGGTCAACTTAGCGCCTTGGGCCAATACCCAATTGATGGAGGTCGAAGTGGAGCTATGGAAGACATGATAAGTAAAAATCAATGTAACGCAACACAAGAAGTGTCATCCATGGCCATGGGAGACATCATAAGGAAAAATCATGACGCAACAAAGAAAGTGTAACAAGACGGTAGTGCCTCTTAGACCAATCAATCAAGAGGGTAACAAGACGGCTAATGACACAGGCTAAAATCAAAACGTAATCATAACGTGATCGTAATCGACCTCATCGACCAATCATCTTCTACCAGACGGCCTGTGGCATAAGGTCTTAGGTTAGAACACTATAACTTGACATGACTAAGAGAATTAAAAGCATGTATAAAGGGATGAGTGATGGATGAAAAAGGAAGAAGTTCAAACTAATATTTTCTTTGTACAATTGCAATGATCCATTAATACAATACTTTCATTTAATTCAAATTCATAAAAGTTGATCATAGATTTCCACGTCATTTTTTGACATCAATAAGTTTGGTTATTATAATTATATATTATTATTTTTTATTATTTTCTTTTTTCCTAATGTTAATAATGTCCTTTGCAAGAGACAAATAATAGAACCAACTACGAAACCATAAACAATGTACTTTAGGCTTGGGCTTAAAAGTTGCACTTGTTTATGCTTGCGTCATTTGTTGTCATCCATTCATTGGTTAGACATAATTGCTTTGATATACTCCATTCGTCTCATAAAGATATATTTATTTTATTTTTCGTCTGTCCCAAATTATAGGTCACTTTCCTTGTCGTTGACAGTTAGTTGATTTCTTAATTTTTAAATACACCACTATTTAATGTGTATTATTATCAACAAATATGAAATATTCATATTTAAATCAATATTTAATGTAAGGGTATATATAATAGAAATATTTAAGAAAAAATTATATTTTCAATTATATTAATTACACTTTCTTAACCCGTGTGAAAATGAAAACAAGCCTATCTTTGTGGGGTGGAAAGAGCCATACTAATTTGCTCTCTGTTATCCATGAACACTGATGACACCAACACCTAAATGGAGCTCTAAATATTGATTATTTTTTCTTTTGTCATTCACCTTGACAAAATTCATATCGGATCGCGTTGAAGATTTTTTAGAAACACTATCTACTTTTTAAGTAATTGACGGTTACATTGAAAATATTATAAGCGACAGTGGCATGGCACATCAATTAATTAATGAATACGATTATGCATATACGACACTTAAAATTTGTGTTCAATAAATACATGTATAATATATAATTTTTTAAAAAATAATGTTATTTTATCACTCATGACCATCATCACTTTATGTAGCAAGATAGTGATAGTTTTAATTAATTGTAGAAAAATTATAATAGCGTTAAGAGTATCATCATTGCAAATGTGGATTGCTCAAAAAATCGTGCCACATAAGCAAAAATAGGTTGGGTANCAAAAAATCGTGCCACATAAGCAAAAATAGGTTGGGTATAAAAAAATATCTACACAATGCAAGATGACATGGGACTCTTCTAAGTTGACGTACCAAATAAAATAATAAATAATATTTAGAACTCTGTCTAGATTTAGAAGGTTCATTAGATAAAGCGATCCAACAAAAATCAATATTTTCTTTTCTACTTTAGATATGATTTATTTTTCTGAAAATTATTTGATTCTAGTAGAACTTTTTTTAGAGCCAAATAATATCTGAAGAAAGACAAGAATCATATGCTTTTCCTGAATTGCCAAATATATTCTTGTTTTCTTCTTTCTTTGCTTTTTCTCTTGATCAAGATTGTAAATAAGCATATTCGCAAGTATAATTGTTAGACGGTTGTATTATCGACCGCGCTACATGTACAAAGTCAGTTGACAAAGTCTCTTAACAAAGTGATGTGGTACTAATCAAAAGATATAAATATCACTCATCTATTCTTTTGTTAAATCAAGGTTTTCTATTCCTATTATAGGATAATTTTGGTTTATTTCTTCTAATAAATGAAAAAGCTAATTACGCTCGTTTTTATCGATATATCTTTTATCAAAACCATTATTTAATATTTTAATTTTATTTTCTAATTTATTAATTTCTTTATTAATTCTGACTATATTTTCTTTCCAATATAAAGATACATGTATATTTCTACTATTTTTCAAAAAATAA